CGGTCTAGTAGTCGGGAGAGCAGCTCTCACCCTCCTTCATGATTTCGATGATTATGCCTGTCACCACCACCCCCAAAACCTAAGAGCAGTGTGGATTAATTGGCCTCACCAGCTTGCAGTGTGAGCGCTCCTCGGCACGCAGCATGGTTTTCTTAGGCTCGGGAAGCACATTCCCACACCCTTCTTATAAGACCCCCGTGACTTTGCGCACACCCACCTGCACAGTGTAGCTTCCCAGGGTGGTGGCCCGTTTAAACCGCCGGCCTTGTTGCTGGGACATCATGAACAGCTGGGCCAGGCGCTGCTCCATGACCCGGGCGAAGCTTTGGTTGTGCAGGCCCACCAGGGAACTGTCCACGCCCTGCAGCACTGTGGACACAGGACACAGAGGGGCTGTCAGAGGAGAGGCTGCCTGCTGACTCGGAACCACAGCCGCCACCGCTGGCCCCCACCAGCCACTAAGGGCCATGGGCCCGACCTCATGTTAGGGTTTGGCCATCCTTCCCTCACTTTACCCTCACATCAGCCCCAGGAATCGCTACTGACCTGTTCGAGATGCTGAAAAGGTTAAGTGACTTGTCTAAGGTCACACAGCTAGTAATCAGCAAAGCCAGGCCTCAAACCCGAGCCTGTGGAACCCCAAAGCATGCACTCTGTCCTGCACAAGCTGTGACAGGTGTAACGCTGCTGTATTAGGTCCCAACCTTATTTAAGATAGTATGTGTTGTCAGAGTCCATATGGGAATACAGCATCGCTAATGGGTACAACTACTTGGATTTTTGGTGGTTCCCACTCAGAAGCCCTGGCTCAGCGCTACCCTGGTTTTACCTTTCCTTCCCAACAGCTTTGGTGAGAAATCTAAGCTCCATCCTGCAACTCAGCCCCTTCCGCACGGGCAAACCACCCTGTTCGGTGCCCTCTTCCCTCTCTCCTCAATGGGGTCCTTTCAGGGCTCACCCCTAAAGCTGCCCAGGGCCCCTGGGGTCTCTCTCACTTGACAGAAGGATCGTGTGATGGAAAGAGGGGGCTCTCTCAGTGCTGGCCCTTGCCAGTTGGGGGACTTTGGGCAAACCACCGGCCCTCTCAGAGTCCAAGTCCTTTTCTGTAAAACGGAATAAGAAGGGCTACATCACAGCAAATATATTTCTAGTGGGCTTTAAGGTTGAGATGAAATAAGATGTATATAGCAGCTTAGCATAGAGCCTGGTGTGCGGAAGGCAAATGAAACCCTGTCTTTCCAGCCCTCCTTCACTGCTGGGCTTCATCCACATCCAGGGTATCTGTAATCAATGGGTAAGGCGTTGGTGATGGAATTCCAGGCAATGGCTGGTGCACGGGAGAGAAGTTAGTGAACACCAGAGCCGTACAAGGACTGCGGTGGTCAGTTACTACGGGGGCGACTGCCGTTTGCTGTCTACCCCCAAAGCCAGCCCTTCCTCCGAGACCCTTGGGAAGAAACACACTTCTTCCCAAACACACAAACACTCCCTCCAAACACAGTCATCCCTGAAAACAAAAATGCCAAAAGCAATTCTCATCTTCTTAGACCAAAACTTACACGGGCTGGGAATGTAATGCAAGGTTTTCATTTAGCAGAGTTTGTTCTACTACAGTCCAGCCAAGGACCATTAATACCACCCGTCTACTGGGATCTGGCAATAGCCTGGATATAAAGACGGCATTGTTACTATGATGGCATTCTAACAGGGGCAGAACACGCAACGGATGACAACGAGATGCAGAGAACGATGTTTAAACCAATCAAGAGAAAAATATAACCCACAGCTGAGTCTTAGAAATCATTTCTTTGAAACCACAAATGCTAAATAATCCCCACGGAGGGCATGAAGCAGCTTTCCTTCCAGGGCCCTCATGAGGGACTCCCAGCTCAGCAGAACTCCTGCAAACAAAGATAAAACACTCCTGCACTTCCCACTGTGGCCCCTTGGAACCCTCCTGACACAGCTGTCAGGCTGAGGAAGGGCTGACCAGCCTCCTGACCCCAGAAGGAGAGCCCGTGTTCTTGCGCACTCAAAGACACCCCTCCCGTAAAAGGACAGCACCAACTGCTGAAGGATTATTTCTACACTGGTCTCTCCTAACTGGTGGACAAGAGCAAGAGAGGGGACACAGGATGGTCGAGGGACGTCATCATGGGTTACTTTACAGGAATCCCAGAGATGATGCAAGGGCAGACATCAAAGAAGAGAACAGTCGAAGCCTTCAGGTGACAAAAACATTCTGGAAATAGATAGTGGTGATGGTTGCACAACACTGTGAATGTACTTAATGCCCCTGAATTGTACACTTTAAAAATGGTTAAGGGATTCCCTGGTGGCGCAGTGGTTAAGAATCCTCCTGCCAGTGCAGGGGACGCGGGTTCGAGCCCTGGTCCGGCAAGATCACACATGCCGCGGAGTAACTAAGCCCATGCACCACAACTGCTGAGCCTGTGCTCTAGAGCCCGCGAGCCACAACTACTGAGCCCACGTGCTTCAGCTACTGAAGCCTGCACGCCTAGAGCCCGTGCTCCACAACAAGAGAAGCCAATGCACATATATACACTACCAGATGTAAAATAGATAGCTAGTGGGAAGCAGCCGCATAGCACAGGGATATCAGCTCGGTGCTTTGTGACCACCTAGAGGGGTGGGATAAGGGAGGGTGGGAGAAAGAGGCAAGAGGGAGGGGATATGGGGATATATAGCTGATTCACTTTGTTATACAGCAGAAACTAACACAACATTGTAAAGCAATTATACTCCAATAAAGATATTTTAAAAAAAGAGAGAAGTCACCACAAGGAGAAGCCCACGCACCGCAACAAAGAGCAGCCCCCGCTCATCCCAACTAGAGAAAGCCAGGGCAGAGCGACAAAGACCCAACGCAGCCAAAGATAAATAAATAAATAAATAAATGAATGTTTTTTTTTTAAAAAAGGTTAAAACGGTAAATCACACTTTATGAGTATTTTACCACAGTTTTAAAAATTGAGAAAAAATACCTGCAGGGAAGTATAGGAGGCCGTGGGAACCTGCCACAGAGCTACATGGAATCAGCTGGGCAGCTCCCTCATGCCTCGTGGCTCTATTTGCAAAGAGGATGTGTCCTTCTCAGGAGGCAGATGGAGAAGAGCTGAGGGGTGGAGCCAGGGCCCTGGGTTCGAATCCTGACGCCTCCTTACCGAGTGTCTTGAGCAAGTTGCCTAGTTTCTCTGGGCCCCAGTTCCTCATCCGAAAGCACGGTTGTCATAAGCTCCTCCTGACTGTATCATTGCAAAGAACAGTATACTTTATACAAAAATGCTTCCAGCATAGTGCACTTGAGAGGGCGGTGCCCGTAAACAGTAGCTGTTGTTGCTCAAACGCGCCTCCTCCTTCACTAGACACATCCTCACCAGAGGAAGGAATTGCCCGGAAAACACAGGGCTGTGTTGCAGGACTGTAGCTCCTTTCCTTTCCCCTGAGAAGCATGGCGGACCTCAGGCTCCTGGCCCTCTCTGCCCACCTGGAAGGGAGTGGAAAGAGGTGTGTGCCCATAGCTCTCACAGAGACCCAGAAGCAGTAGCGGGGGTTGGACCCTGGCACGGGGGCCCAGGAAGACCGCAGCCCCTCAATACATCAGCCAGGGCCCTGGCCACCCACCCTTATCCACCACTGATTCAGCTCAGAGGAGACGGGCAAGTCCCAGCTGTGTTCCTAGGAGCTTTGTCCAGGGGATTTGGTGGCTATAACATCACTGGTCTCTCATTCCTTCTTTGTTTACAAGTGCACTGGGCTCTAAGATTCCAACGATCAGGCAAGGTGAACTCAAGTTAAGTTGTTTTATTCATGGTTGAATCTCACATACTCAGAGCCAAAAGAACCTCAATCCTCAGCTCACATCTTTTCCTGATTCTGAAGGTGAGCATGTGCTGCCTAGTGGGTCTAAGTTGACTTACTCAAGGACACACTAGGTTAGTCAGTAGCAGAGCTGAGACCAGAAGAAATCCTGTAATTGCTGGGTCTGGGATATTTTGACTCTGGTAGGTGAAATAAAGACAGATGAATAAACCTAAGAGGGGCTCTCACCTCTGTCAGGCAGCAAGATTAAGTCTGTACACTTCTACCCCGCCTCATATATACACCCCTGACTGCAGGATCCATGAGAGCAGGGTAGCCCCTGGGTACTCCGTAAAGAGGGGCTGCAGGAGTCACCCTAAGCCAGTGATTTTCCACCACAGCGGGACCCACACTCAGGGAGGGGAGAAGTGGATAGTGTGCCAAAACATATTTAATATAAGTTTAGTCGGAAAACAGATGAAAACATATTAGGCTTTTACAATGCAAATTACAGGAAGAAAAGTTGCTTCAAATCCTCTTGGCTGTTAGCAATGAGCAGAAGACAGGATGCCCAGGATGAATATCTGGGCAGACAGGTTATTCGAGGGACTGTAGGTTTGAACAAGTGCTATCTTCATCTCTCAGTTCCGAATCTCCTACCCCTTCTGGAAAAGATGGTTAAAGTTGGTGGTGGCCACCCATGGGTCTAGAAAGTGGTTATGGGCCAAAGGGAAGGCAGAAGGGTCATCCTGAGACCTGGACCTGTGCCCTCTTCCCCCCCAAGCACTAATCAACTGACCCAATCAGCCCCAAACACAGTGATGGGTGCCCCTGTGTATAATGATTACCAACAGGCAGCAACAGTGATAACAAAATTGGATACGTAGGTGAGTGGGCAGGGGTCAAGTCCCAGAAGAATCCTGAAAACAAGACCATGTATGGAGCTTTTTATTAAGGTTATGTCACTAAAACAGAGGCAGGGCAAGACACAGGTACATGAGGAAAGCATGAAACAGGAGTTTGTCAAGGATAGGATGTTTTACCATTGAATGTAAATCTTAAAAGTTAAGAGAAGGGAGGAAATGTCTACAAGTTAACAAACAGCATTCCCTGTGCAGGAAACATGATTTTGTAAATGTTACATAACCTGCTGATTTCCCTCTTGAGCATAAACTCTGGTGGGTTGTTGTCGTTTCCTTTTTAAACGTTTCTTTGGTTGGCCTTCTTAGCAGGTAAAATAATCTCTACAAATCCATGGCTTTGCAGGGGAGAAAGGAATGCAATTTTCTGCAATTTAGGAGAGGTCTTGAGTGAGCTTCACCAAGCTCCTTGGTTAGTATTCCAGGCAGCAGCCCATCTACTGCTTGTTTAGGACAGCAAGGGAGGGAGGAGACAGGCGAGGGAAGATGGTGGTTTGGGAGGGCCTGCTTGTTCAGGCACATCTTCCAGGACTGGCAAAATCTTCCTCCCTCCTTGTAATGGGCTGAATTGTGTCCTCCCACCACTCACATGTTGACGTTTTAACTCCCAGGACCTCAGAATGCGACTGTATTTGGAGATAGGGCCTTCAAAGAGGCAATTAAGATAAAATGAGGTCATCAGGGTGCGGCCTAATCCTATACGACTGGTGTCCTTATAAGAAGAGAAAACTAAGACACAGACATGCACAGAGGGAAGATGGCCATCTACAAGCCAATGAGAGAGACCTCAGAAGAAAACAACCCAGCTGACACCTTGATTTTAGACTTCCAGCCTCTAGAGTTATGAGAAAATAATTCCTGTTGTTGAAGCGCCCCCCAGCCTGGAGTACTTTGTTACGGCAGCTCTAGCAGACTAGCACCCTTCCATCCCTCCCCTTGAAACTGAGGAGGACCCTGTGGGGCTCCTGGGCATGGAAGCCTTTTTGTCCCTCCTTTCTTGTAGGCACGACTCCAGCCTCCATGACCTTCCCTGAGTTCCAAAGGGCAGATTCGAACAGCTGCTAATCAAGGGAGAAGCAGCCAAGAGACCACCTGAGGCCAGATTAAAGGGAACAGAGAAGCTCATCAAGATTAGGAGACCCGATCACCTGAGACCAGAGTAAAGGCATGCAGCAGACCCTGCACACACCCTAATCTTATCAGCAACCCCACCCTTGAACTATTGCTATAAAACTCCTCATCAAATCCTCCCAGGTTGGGACACATAGTTTTTCAGGGCAGGAGCCCATTTTGTCCCCCTTTGCCTGGCAAAGCAATAAAGCTATCCTTTTCTATTTCACCCAAAACTCCGTCTCTGAGATTCAGTGTGGCACCAGTTACAGAGAAGCTGAGCTTTTGGCATCACCCTTTCTGCCCCGGCTGGTCACTTTTCCTCCTACAAGTATCTGTCCTCTCTCTCTGCTTCCAATCCTTGCTTCTCTCATTTTCAGAGTTACTGTCTGGCTTTTGAAAAACACAAGCAAAACGTTTTTGCTGTTCCATAAATCTCGGCTGGAAAATGTCAAGGAAGAAAAAAGGAAACTGCCACCCAAACACCCTTTTAGTTCCATCCACCCTCACTGTCAGGACACGCCCGGGCTCCACCAGGATCAGCGCGGGGGTACCGGGGAGAGAGAAAAATGCATGCCTGGCATTCCTCTGACTTTCATTTGGGTTTTGTAAAGCAGTGCAGAGAGTCCTGCGGTCTTTAAATGATCTTTAAACGAATCGACAACCATTCACATGGACATGCCCCAGACGTCCACAGCTTAATGCCGCACTTTTTGATAGGTACACATTTTGCGAAAAGAAGGCTCCTGGGTGGGTCTTTCAACGTAGCTGTTTTGAATTGGTTATTTAACCCTCATCTTCAGCATGCTGTTTTTTCCTACCTCAGCTTACTCCACCCACTTCTGGTCCTAGGGAAGTAACTCCTTGGCGGATAAGACGGGACCCAAGAAAAGATGCCAATTCTATCACTGAATGGCATGCAGTTTTTAAAAATAAACCAACCTTTCCAAAATATAGCAGAGGGAGGAACACTCCCAAACTCATTCTACGAGGCCACCATCACCCTGATACCAAAACCAGACAAAGATGTCACAAAGAAAGAGGCCACAGGCCAATATCGCTGATGAACATAGATGCAAAAATCCTCAACAAAATACTAGCAAACAGAATCCAGCAGCACATTAAACGGATCATACACCATGATCAAGTGGGGTTTATCCCAGGAATGCAAGGATTCTTCAATATACGCAAATCAATTAAATGTGATAAACCATATTCACAAATGGAAGGATAAAAACCATATGATCATCTCAATAGATGCAGAAAAAGCTTTTGACAAAATTCAACACCCATTTATGATAAAAACCCTCCAGAAAGTAGGCATAGAGGGAACTTACCTCAACATAATAAAGGCCATATATGACAAACCCACAGCCAACATCAATCTCAATGGTGAAAAACTGAAACCATTTCTTTAAGATCACGAACAAGACAAGGGTGCCCACTCTCACCACTACTATTCAACATAGTTTTGGAAGTTTTATCCACAGCAACCAGAGAAGAAAAAGCAACAAAAGGAATCCAAATCGGAAAAGAAGAAGTAAAGCTGTCACTGTTTGCAGATGACATGATACTATACATAGAGAATCCTAAAGATGCTACCAGAAAACTACTAGAGCTAATCAATGAATTTGGTAAAGTAGCAGGATACAAAATTAATGCATTCCTAAACACTAAGGATGAAAAATCTGAAAGAGAAATTAAGGAAACACTCCCATTTACTACTGCAACCAAAAGAAGAAAATACCTAGGAATAAACCTACCTAAGGAGACAAAAGACCTGTATACAGAAAACTATAAGACACTGATGAAAGAAATTAAAGAGAATACAAACAGATGGAGAGATATACCGTGTTCTTGGATTGGAAGAATCAACATTGTGAAAATGACTCTACTACCCAAAGCAATCTACAGATTCAGTGCAATCCCTATCAAACTATCAATGGCATCTTTCACAGAAATAGAACAAAAATTTTCACAATTTGTATGGAAACACAAAAGACCGCAAAGAGCCAAAGCAATCTTGAGAAAAAAAAAATGGAGCTGCAGGAATCAGGCTCCTGGACTTCAGACTGTACTACAAAGCTACAGTAATCAGGACAGTATGGTACTGCCCCCAAAAGAGAAATATAGATCCATGGAACAGGATAGAAAGCCCAGAGATAAACCCACACACCTATGGTCACCTTATTTTTGATAAAGGAGGCAAAAATATACTATGGAGAAAAGACAGCCTCTTCAATAAATGGTGCTGGGAAAACTGGACAGCTACATGTAAAAGAATGAAATTAGAAAACTCCCTAACACCATACACAAAAATAAACTCAAAATGGATTAAAGACCTAAATGTAAGGCCAGAAACTATCAAACTCTTAGAGGAAAACATAGGCAGAACACTCTATGACATAAATCACAGCAAGATCCTTTTTGACCCACCTCCTAGAGAAATGGAAATAAAAACAAAAATAAACAAATGAGACTTAATGAAACTTAAAAGCTTCTGCTCGGCAAAGGAAACCATAAACAAGACGAAAAGACAGCCCTCAGAATGGGAGAAAATATTTGCAAATGAAGCAACTGACAAAGGATTAATCTCCAAAATTTACAAGCAGCTCATGTAACCTAATATCAAAAAACAAACAACCCAATCCAAAAATGGGCAGAAGACCTAAACAGACATTTCTCCAAAAAAGAAATACAGATTGCCAACAAACACATGAAAGAATGCTCAACATCACTAATCTTTAGAGAAATGCAAATCAAAACCACAATGAGCAGGGCTTCCCTGGTGGCACAGTGGTTGAGCAGCCGCCTGCCGATGCAGGGGACACGGGTTCATGCCCCGGTCTGGGAAGATCCCACATGTCGCGGAACAGCTGGGCCCGTGAGCCATGGCTGCTGAGCCTGCGAGTCCAGAGCCTGTGCTCCGCAACAGGAGAGGCCGCAACAGTGAGAGGCCCGCGTACTGCAAAAAAAACAAAAAAACCCCAAAAAACCCACAATGAGGTATCACCTCATACCAGTCTGAATGGCCATCATCAAACAATCTACAAACAATAAATGCTGGAGAGGGTGTGGAGAAAAGGGAACCCTCTTGCACTGTTGGTGGGAATGTAAATAGATACAGCCACTATGGAGAACAGTACGGAGGTTCCTTAAAGAACTAAAAATAGAACTACCATATGACCTACCAATCCCACTACTGGGCATATACCCTGAAAAAACTAAAATTCAAATAGAGACATGTACCACAGTGTCCACTGCAGCACTATTTACAATAGCCAGGACATGGAAGCAACCGAAGTGTCCATCGACAGATGAATGGATAAAGAAGATGTGGCACATATATACAGTGGAATATTACTCAGCCATAAGAAGAAACGAAATTGAGTTATTTGTAGTGAGGTGGATGGACCAAGAGTCTGTCATACAAAGTGAAGTAAGTCAGAAAGAGAAAAACAAGTACAGTATGCTAATACATATATATGGAATCTAAAAAAAAAAAAATGGTGCTGAAGAACCTAGGGACAGGACAGGAATAAAGATGCAGATGTAGAGAATGGACTTGAGGACACGGGGAGGGGGAAGGGTAAGCTGGGACGAAGTTAGAGACCGGCATGGACATATATACACTACCAAATGTAAAACAGATAGCTAGTGGGAAGCAGCCGAATAGCACAGGGAGATCAGCTTGGTGCTTTGTGACCACCTAGGGGGTGGGATAGGGAGGGTGGGAGGGAGACGCAAGAGGGAGGGGATATGGGCATATATGTATATGTATAGCTGATTCACTTTGTTATACAGCAGGAACTAACACAACATTGTAAAGCAATTATACTCCAATAAAGATGTTAAAGAAAATAATAAAGAAAGAGAGAGAGAGAGAGAGAGAAAGAAAGAGAGGAAGGAAGGAAGGAAGGAAGGAAGAAAAGATAAGAAAGAAAGGAAGGAAGGAAGGAAGGAAGAAAGAAAGAAAGAAAGAAAGAAAACCAACCTGATAGGGTGAAAGGGGAAATGAAAGAAGAGGTTACCTGTAATTACCCAGTAGTCTCTGGTTGTTTCTGATATATCAAGGTTGGGGTATTCCAGCGCTAAAACAAATAAGAAACACACCAAATTACTTTCACAGGTTTTATATTTAAATATTGTTCAGAGAAATAGACATAGCTGACAAAATACCAAGCAGTTAAATCCTGCTTTATCATTCTTGGGAACTCTAGGACATACAGACTGAAAATTGCTATTCAGAAAACTAAAATACTCAGTAAAGGGCTTTTGGGTGTCTGCTTTCGGTTTTTCCATCAAAACCTTCTTAAGTGAAATGCTTCCATTGTCAAGACCTACAGCTAGGACCTATCTTAACAATAGCTTTCTCTTTAAAAATTATCCAACCATCATAACACTTTTAGGAATAATTATTTCTTGAATGGATTTTTCCAGTGTCAAGGACTAAGTTTTGTAGCCAAATGTAACAGTACCATTTCTTTACAGGTGTGGTGACCATCAGAGTTAATACATGTAAAAGGCTTAGCATAGTACCTGGCACATAGTAAGTACTCAATAAATCATAGTTGTGTTATTGTTATTATTCTCAGAATATCAAGATGATGAAAAAATAAATTCTTCATGTGCTGCCAGGTTACGTAATGCCATCTTTTATGACATCATCTTTTCCATAAAATCCAGAAGCATCTTT